CGGCCTTGTTGGCTAAGAAAGGTCATGTTTTTGCGCGGAGCATTCTGCGTCCGGCCTCTTTCAGGAACGAGCCAAGTTCTAATGAAATGGCATTGTACGTTACAACTATCGTTGTCAAGTTATTATTTCCCCTTCGTCCATGTACAAGTTTCCGTATCCGTACCGTAACATGGAATTTAGGTTCTAGGGCACCACCCCGTGACGTGCACGTAAGCAACGGCGTCGTTTGCCGCCAGGCTGTTTGGGGTCCGCTCTCAACTCAATCGCATTGTCTCATCTCATTACAACTCCGTACTTACGTCGACTAGCATCAAATCGTCAGAATCGCATTTTGTCAATGAGTGTAGTAGGTGAAGCTCCTCAGTGAGACATGACAACTCGCGCTCCTGCTACAATGTTTTGAACATGGTCTGGTGCACTATTTGCGACTCGAAGTATCGGAAGACAAAAGCGCAGAGCTGTTCCGCACCAGTGCTTGAGTACGTTGAACGGACCAATAAAGTTCTGAAAATTTCCATTTAGTACGTCAATGTAACAGCCATCTTAGATGAAAAGCATAATTGAGAGATGGGCTGAACGGAAACCGAGGTTGGCAAGAACTGCTTCGGGATCGATTACTGAAAGCGACAAAATCGGGTAGTGTCAGTGCTCTATGCCAAGGTAGGTTGAGTCTGAGCAATTTGACAGTCTAAACTTTGATCATGTCACCATTGGGAACCTTGACTCGGAACAGAATCGTAGTACGCAACAACTCAACATCTCTTAAGCCGGCGCCGAAACAAATCGTGATGTGGACTCTGTTGCGGTCGGCCAACCTAGATTGACCAAAAATCATCTTGTCTATTGAATCTTTCAAAGATGAGCTGCACAGAGCTTCCAGGGATAGCGCATAGAAGCTTCAGGGTCTTCATCCCAAGCTGACCGGGTTCATTTAATCCCAGCCCAGACCGGACTGCGCCGGAAACACTCAACCAACTTTGTTCGGATCCAAACTCCGAAGGAAGCTTAGAGACGTCACCTTGCGGCTGCAGCAGATCTAATGTTCCATCTTTTTACCGTTCACGAACCCCTTTGCAATTTCGCGCCTTAGTAGCCGCCCTGGAGGTTACGGCTCGGAAAACGAGCTGCCTCATCAAGCCTAAACACACTTCATACCCGCCGGGTCCACTTGTAGAAAGGTGCCAAGACCTGCAAGACAGCGGCACCCAGGTCCGCGCCGTCATGTCAGCGGATGCGACACAGGCACAGAAGGTCATGGCAAGGGTACCACACTACTCGTGGAAACGAGTTCGTGCTGGATTTTCCCGGTTCTGCAGCCACCTTTGCTTTCAGGCAATTCTTTAGGGCGCGCATGCAGGTCACCACCCCACCAATCCTCGTCTCATGTTCCCGGGCGGTTCATCCGAGGGGGGATCCCTCCATCTCTTTCCAATCTGGGGATGCAGCTGCAGGTAAATGGGACACTTTGACTACAGAGGACGACCAGCCTCACGGGGAAATGAAGGGCAGAGAACTGGTGGGTTCGGGGCAAATATGGCGCGAGAGGCCGTCCGTCTTGGTGTCCTACATATTGAGTGGCCCAAGACTTCCTTCCCGCGAATCCCTTGGGAGCTCTCAGGAACCTGTATGCGTACCTCTCTTTCATTCGTTTTCGTCAGTCTTTTCCTCGATCATTAAACACACCCTTGCACATATCATGAAGGGCATATTCAAGGCCCTGGCCACGGCGGTGCTCGCCACGGCCTCGCTGGCCCAGGAGTCGGCCCCGCCCTCGGCCTCAGCTTCGGTGTCCGCCGGGTCACCGCAGCCGTCTTCGGGCGCGCTCCCCGCCGTAGCGCCCATCCGGCTCCGCCTCAACCCGGCCAACGTCCGGAACCTCGTCGACTCGGACTTCATCACCTGGACGATCCCCGGCTCCTCCAAAACTAACATTACGGTCGCCAACATCACTGAGAGCGACGTCACTTTCACCCTCGCCGCGGGCAACGGCTCTGAGCTGGCGGGCAACTACTACAAGTACCAGTACACGCGCATCATCTCCTCCTTGGGCGAGCGCGTCGTCAACGAGGGCATCAGCAACTCCAACAAGGATGGCTCACCGATCACGCTCACGATCAAGGGTCTCGTGCCGGGCAACCACAGCCTGCTGACATGGCACAACGCCTGGGACGCCCTCAACGAAACGGCGACGATCGACATTTCCGTCAACGGACAGACTGATCTGACGGCCGTCAAGCAGTCTGCGCGCGTGGACAACATCTGGCAGGCCGCGACCTCGTATCTGACGTTCGAAGTTACATCCGCGACGCAGGAGACCAAGATCGTCTACACCCCGGGCAGCGGCGGCGACAAGCGGGCTTTCCTCAACGGGTTCGAGGTCGATGCCCCGTCGATGCAGAACCAGATCAGCTTCCCTACGCCCAAGCACCGCGACGAGCGCATCGAGGTTGCGGCGGACGACAGCGTCACTGCTACTTGGCAGGCTCCCGCCTCTGCTGAGGGTGTCAAGTATAATGTGTACCTCGGCACGTCACAGACTGACTTGAAGAGCGTTGCTGAGGGCGTGACGGAGACGAGCGCCAAGCTTCCTGGTACGTTCTTGATGTCATTTTATGTTGGCCGTGTACTTTATCTAATCTTATTACAGGCCTCAACACCGTCGACAGCTTTTACTGGCGAGTCGATGTCGTTTCCGGATCAACCACCTACACTGGCCGCGTCTTCTTCTTCCGCGTCGCTCACCTAGCCTTCCCCGGTGCCGAAGGTTGGGGGTACGTCTCCAAACCCTACTCTTATTGTATTGAAACCTACTAACATCGTCCACAGTCGCTTCGCCCGCGGTGGCCGCGGCGGCAAAGTCATCAAGGTGACCAGCCTCGAAGACAGTGAAGCCGAAGGCACCCTCCGTTATGCCCTGACCATCGCCAAGGGCCCGCGCATCGTCGTCTTCGACGTCGGCGGCGTCATCACCACCACCTCCCGCATGTCCGTCAACGACCAGTACATCACCCTAGCCGGGCAGACCGCGCCGGGCAAGGGCATCGTTATCCAGGGCAACCCACTCGGCCTGACCGGCGCGTCCGATATCATCTTCCGCCACATGCGCGTGCGCCCCGGCAAGGTCTCTGGGCAGACTATCGACGGAATGGGTATGCAGGGTTCAAACCACTGCATCTTTGACCGCTGCTCTATGGTATGTTCACTTCCGAACGCCACGAGAGGGTACGTTGTTAACAAACGATGGATAGGGCTGGACGATCGACGAGGCTTTCAGCTCGCGGTCTGCTTGGAATATCACCTTCCAGCGCAACATGATCTCGGAACCTCTCAACGTCGCCGGCCACAAGAACTACCCCAACGGCACTGCTCACGGCTATAGCGCCACAATTGGCGGAGACGTCGGATCTTTCCATCACAACTTGCTCGCCCACGCCGAGGGTCGTAGCTGGAGCATGGGCGGCGGTGTTGACGACAACGCTGCGTTTGCCGGCCAGCTTGACATTCGCAACAACGTCGTCTATAACTTTGGTATGTGACACACGCGTTATGAAGAGGATTGAGAAATTTTAACATGTACAGGTGGCCGTGCTACCGATGGCGGTGCGAAGAAGGTCAACTTTGTAGGGAATTATTACAAGCATGGGCCGGCCTCCACGCTTCCCTACGCCCTCAGAGCACAGGTATGGAAGTTATTCACAACATGAAATATCCCTGCCGCTAACATGATACATACAGTACGAGGACAACATGCCCGGCATGCAACAGTATTACTGCGCCGGAAACTCCATGCCTGGCTTCTTCGACCAGGACTCAGTCCAGTATCCCTCTGGCGACGGCACCGCCACAAAGAACACCACAATCGCCTGCTGGGCCGACGTCAGCTTCGAGCCGGCCCCGACCTACCAAAAGTTCTTCGATAAGGAGTTCTTCGAGCCCCACGTCGAGACGCAGCCCTCGACCGAGGCTTACAAGCGCGTGCTCTCCGACAGCGGCGCCAGCCAGCCCGTCCGCGACACCCACGACGCCCGTATCGTCAACGAGACGGCCACGGGAACCGCCACCTACGTCGGCTCCGTGTCGGGCAAGAAGGGCCTCATTGACGACCCTAAGGACGCGGGCGGGCTCGAGGATTTCCCTACTGTTACGCGCGCAGCCAGCTGGGATGCTGATGGAGACGGTATTGCGGATTGGTGGGATGGGTCAACTGGTGGTGATGGGTACACTCCCATCGAGGGGTATCTCAACTTCATGGCTGATCCTCACGCGTATGTTTCGCCTTCCAAGTCTGTCGAGGTTGACCTTGCTGCTCTGGCTCTGGGATTCAAGGAGCCTACGTTTACGGTTTCTGGGGCAAAGAAGGGAGAGGTTACTGTCAGTGGGGGTAAGGCTACGTATGCTGCTGGCGCTGAGGCTGGCATTGATCATCTTGAGATCAGTATCAAGGACAGCGAGGGGAGCACGTGGACCCGGTCATTTGGTGTCGCCATCTTTGCCGGTGCGGAGGAGGCCTGAGTGAGCGCACACAGAGCGCCACCATACACTTCAATTCTTTAGTTAAAATATGTTCACCCTAGATGCGTGGTGGCCAAGCCATCACCAACCATTTCTTCTCAGATGTTGCTCACTCTTCGGACACTATACAGCCTGGCTACTGCGATTATGTTCGTCGTCTCCGGCATCTCACATCGCCATTTCGTTCACCATCGAGCGCTGGCATCATAAGACCGAAGCAATTTGTTCCCAACTTTTGATTAAAGTACCTTGTCTGTATCCCTGAGGCCCAGTAGAAGAATCGAAGTCTACCCCGCATAACTCATTACATAAAATCCTATCCCCCCGATGCATAACGCTATGCTTCATGTATAACACTTATAAACCGGGCACTACAAAAACGAAAAGAAGAATAGCCTGCTGGCCTCAATGGAGGGTACATGTTTGTTGCCGCCGCTGCTAGTATAGCTACTTTTGGCCTTGGCTAAGTCCGCGTCTCAAAGACAGACTTAGGTAGAGGTAGGCTCGGCGCTGAGGACCAGACGAGCAAACTTGTTGCAGTTGCCGGTGCGAGAGTCGCAGGTAGGCTGGGCAGCCAGGCAGGTAATGGTGGAAACTGTGTAAGTGGAGTACTTGGGCGCGACGCTCGCCGTCTGGGTGCGCGTGATATAGGCATAGCGGTACAGGCAGACGCTCTGGTCAGCAGGAACGGTGGCCGTCTGCGTAATCGTAGCCGTGGCCGTCTCCGTGACGGAGGCGGTGATGGTGGCGTTGACAACCTCGGTACGGTAGGCCGTGGTGGGCACGATCTCAGTGGAGTAGATGGTCGTAGGAACCGTGGCGATATTGTACTGGGTGGACTCAACGGTGGCGACTTCCGTCTCGTAGACTGTGGTGTCGACGACGGCGGTGGCGGTGGTGTAGACGGTGCTTCCGAGGGTGGTGATCTCGTTGACGGTAGAGACGCGGGTTTCGGTGGTGTACTCGGTCGCGTAGACGACTGTGGGCACGGTGGTGGTCTCGTCGAGATAAACGGTGGAGTAGGCCGTGGAGGTGGAGTACTCGGTGGAGGGGAGAGTGGTGACGTCCAGGACGGTGGAGTGGATGGTAGACGGCTCGCCGGTAACTGTAGGAGTGACGGTGACAGTCTCAGAGGCCTCAACCGTGGCACGAGCGGTGCGGGTGAGGGTAGTGGTGGATGCGGTGGTGCGAACGGTGGCCGTGAGGACGAGAGTCTGGACGGCTGCCGTGGTGCGAGAGGTGTAGGTCAGGGCGAGGGTGGTGGTGGAGGCAGTGGTGCGCTGGGTGTAGGTGAGAGTGAGGTTCTCAGTGGCGATGGTGGTGCGAGAGGTGGCCGTGTAGGTCTTGCTCTCAGTGGTGACGGTGGTCTTGATGGTCTTGGTGACGGAGGTGGTGGTGTCAATGACGGCGGTGATGGCCTTGTCGCTGAGACCGCTGGCCACGGAGGCAGGAATGGAGCCATCGCCGTTGTTGACGGCGACTGCGGCGGAGGCAGTGATGGCGGCATCTGCGGCTGCAGAGGTGCCGGAGATGGCTGCGGCCGAGGCCATGCCCGCGATGGGGAGGAGGCTGACGAGAGACTTGATGAAATGCATTGTTATGAGGTGCGTTTTGTGCAAGTGAGCGACAGAAGTGAGTGACTGTAGGTGGGAAAAGAGTGGAATCTCGCAGGAAGCAAGTTGTGGGAAAGAGTGTGGGAGAGTGAGTGAGGGCTCGGTGACTGGCAGTGGTCTGAAGAGGCTGATGAGGATAAAAGATTGTGAGTATGCTCGACGATGTTCTGGTTATTATATGATGTTGAAGGTGTTGCCAGAGATGGTCTAGAACTTGGACCCTGAATCCACAAGTCTCTCACGAGATTGTTTTCCGATTACGCCTTTGCAGCTGACATGGCATTGCGAGTCAATGTTGAGAAAATGGCATGAGGCTTGCGTGGGAATGGTAACTATCGCTCGATAGCTTACGACACACATGCGGTGATTCCGTGGTCCGCACCGGCGGTGGACCACTTTGACTTCCCCATATTGAAATGGTGAAATGGCTGGTGACCTGACACGTTGATGGACTTGGCATGTGTAAGTCAAGACCCAGGGCCTAGCTTGGGAAACGTTGTTGATGGTCCTTCGCACATGAGCCAGTAAGATCTTGGAGGCGAATCTGAGGCTAGAGAGAAATAGCCCTCGCTAGGAATTAGCTTGCCGTTGCGCTGGTATCGTAAGAAAAGGCGATGCCTCATCAAGGAATAGACTCATCTCCGAGATTGTGCAAAAGAAAAAGTCGGTGGATATCGGCCTTCGCGGGCTACCGGGCCCAAGTCTCCGGAACCTGCTACTTTGAACGTAGCTGTGGCAGCTACTATGCCATCCTGGTCTCATCTCAATTTTGGCATAAGGCGACGTTTTCTTGTTCACGTGCTGACCTTTATGGCGCAGTTGTTAGTTCACTAGTTTTGTTCGGAGAGGTTTCCCAACGGAGCGGGAAATTGGGGGCGGGAAGTCAAAAAAAAAGCCGCGGAGGGCTCCGTCCGGGCGGCACGCGGGATGGGGGACTGTAGCCGGTAGTACGTACTCACTCGTTATGTGCATAAACCATCTAACCCAAAAGGCGTATAGTATACTCCCGTCCTTTCTTCACGCCTAGATCCAGCACACCAGGGGTTGACTCAGGAGAAGAAAAGAAACGGCACCGACTTAGCTTCAATTCTGGTTAGACCTGAGTCGCCGAGCCGCGTGTCTTGAAGCTAAAATGTTAACATGGACCCCTGTTGCTGGGCAGATATGTTCCCCAGCACCCCCAGACTAAGCTTCTTCGGCTACCTGTGGCTTAAGGCACTCCGCGCTTGACGACTAGTTCCTTCAGCTCATAAACAGCAACTGCAGGCTCTTGATTGTTAAGCACTGCATCAATGCCTGCTGGGTTCCTGCATGTGATGTATTGATAGAAAGTGAATAGTGGCATGAGCACAGACGTAGCCTAAGAGGACGCTTCTGCTATGGACTTCACTGACGAGACCGAAAATTGAAAACTTAAGCGAATTTTTGAATTGCGGTCCATGAAAGTGCTGACAGTATTGGTCTGTGGGCTCACGTATGGCTTACATAGAATTTTCGTCTCGAGTTATTACGGCTAAACTTGGTGCATGCAGTGATTTTGCAATACCAGATGGTGAACTCCTAAGAAGCATCAAATGTTGACAAGAGAATGCCGCGACTTTATGTAGGCGCCCGAAGTGCGTAGCTTCGTTTTTGACTATCGTTCAGGAGCACAGAGAGTTTGAATATGTACAATGAATTTTATGAAAATTACAACTCCTCCACGTACCAAGTCTAAGCACATTATCTACACAATATCTTTTCGGGGCAAAATACAAAAATTAAATCAACAGGAATGAGTTAGGTGACTCATGTCTAAGAATAGAATGGTGAAATGGGTGATTAGAAGGTCCAAGCATGTCTTCAGGTGAATTATATGCCAAAGTTGTGGCTTAGAGCACTTCTGGCGGCGAGGGAGGCCGAGAGATGGGGCTTTCCGGCCTCTCACCGCCGCCTTTGCCCTCTTCTGCCTCTGAGAGCTTATCTTTGGGAACAGGGGGCGGTGCAGCAGACGATGCGGTGACGCCAGACATGCCCCAAACAGCGTTGCCGAGATTCTTGGCAACAGCTGAGAAGATGATGATGGACATAAACGGCGAGACGAGCTTGTTGACAAAGAAGCCGAGAATAATCTTGTGGGCGCGCTGGCGCAGAGCTGGCTCAACGGCCAAGCAGACACAAAACCAGATAACGGGGAATTGGCCCACCACAAGCAGCGGGAGAATATCCCAAGGGTTGAAAGCCTGGATGAGCGCGCGAATGAAGAGGATTGTGTTGAGGACGCGGTAGTACACCAGCGTCTGCCGGGCAATGTCAATAGCAGCAGCGATTCGCGTGATGAGGATCATGTTCTCGCCGCCGCAGTAGAAGTAGTTGTTGAAGTAGGCGTTGGAACCCCACCGCCGGCGCTGGTGGACGTAGTGCTTGAAGGACTGCGGCGCGACTGTCTCGGAGACGGCGTCGGGCACAAAGATTGTCTGCAGCTTGGAGGACTGGCTGAGCATGCAGTACGTCAGACGACGGTCGGTGCCGAGGTTCTGGACTTGGTGGTGGACGACCCAGTCTTCCTTGACGGGGCGCGCATATTTGGCGATGGCGCCGGCCATCTCCTCGCGGACGGCGACCATGGTGACGCAGCCGGGGAGGCAGGTGACTTTTCCGATGAAGCCTTCTGCGCGACGCCGAACGAACTGGCCAAAGGTGTACTGCAGCTGCTGGTAGAGGTTCCAGAAAGACCACTCGTAGCCCGGCTCGAGCTCGACGAGGACGATGCCGCAGCTGGCGATGGCGTTCTTTTCGCGGGCGAGGGCGTTGGCGAGCTTGGCGACGCAACCTTGGTGGATGACGGAGTCGGCGTCTGTGCAAAAAACCATGTCAAAGTTCTTGAAGCCGGTGCCCTCGGTCAGAGGTGGGAGAATGGTGCGCCAGATTTCTTCGCGGAGGAGGCGGGTGTATGTGGGCATGTTCTCTCGGGGGGCGTTGAAGAGGTCGTGGGTGAGGATGAGGGAGTCCTTCTTGCCGCTGTTCTTGACCTTTTCGATGACGATGACGGGCACATCCTGCATGAAGCCGGCGGTAATTTTGAGTGTACCCTTTTTGTACTTAAGAGAGTGGTAGGGGCGTTCAATGTCGACGACGATGCGGGAGAACTCGCGCTTAATGTTGCGCGGCTTTCCGTCCAAGACGATGCACATGACTTGTTTGTGCGGCTCGCAGCCATTGTCGCGGAGAGAGTAGACCGTCTTGATGAGTTGCTCCTCGCTCTCCGAGTAAGCTGGGATCAGCGAGAGAATCCATCGTTGGGAGACGGGGGCAGGTGGGCGAAAGTGCTTGTAGATAGATGTTCCGATGAGGCAGATGAGGGAGAGCAGCGAGGACAGGAAATCCTTGCACTTGACGAACAGGATGAAAACGAGTGTCGCCAAGCCGGTGTTGCCAAAGCAAGCAACGGCAGCAAGAGCGATGTTGAGACAGAAGACGATGAGGATGAATGCAACTCGCTGAATTGTCAACTCTCTCGGGGTGAGCTTCTTGTTGGGGTTCAGGGGATCCGAGAGGATCGGCCAGCCGTAGTCGGTGACGAACTTTGACGGCTTCTCGGCTTGGCCATCATCTTGGCTGAGGGTGCTTCTGCTTCCGCTTGTCTTGCGTCTTCCGCTTACGTTGGAGTCCCTGGATGAGATGGACGTCCGGGGTGAATTGGGTCTGCTGTCGCTGGCGGCAGAGTAGGCATCCCACTCTCCTTGGCTTCTCCAGGAGTTGGGTGTTCCGGGACGAAACACACGGGAAGGAGGCCGCTCAGATGTTGCAAATTGTGTGCTAAGCCTCTGTGATAGAGTCTTCACAGTCCAACGCTTTTCATCTGTATGCACAGGCTGTGGGCGGGAAATTTCTGGGTGACCCATGGTGTCCTGAATAGCTTCACTTTCGGGATGCGAGTGATACTGTGGACATTAGACACCCTTTACGTGGTGCTGAGCTATACTCAGAACGTAGCGAGCGGAAACGTCCGATGAGTCCAGGACGGTAGAGAGAATGGATGGGATACAGAGTATCCTTGTGAAAGAATGGCACCGACAATACGTTGGGAGTAAAGACTGGACACCACGAATGGCGAGGATTGTTGGATGTGAAGCTCAGGATGAGGATGCAACAAAAGAGAAAGAGTAGAAAGGAAACATCTCGGACTTTGCAAGAAGGCACACTTTTGATCGACTTGATCGGGGTGATTGCCGTCCCCATAGCTGCCCTCTCGTCGAGGGCCTGGAGCTTTCCCTGCGAGCTCAGATCCACTAGCCTGAGCAAAATCTTGGTATTGAGGCATGTAAGATTACCCATCATCAGCTCCGGCATGACGCGGCAGAACATCGAGGGACTGCGAGGACCAAATCAGGTAGTCTGTGGTAGCTTCGGCTGCCAGGGTGCTGTTGACCCAAGACCTTGGGACAGGAATACAACTGATTCCTAATGAGGCCAAGAAGCCGATTGTGTCAAAGTCAGGACTCCATACTTTGCGGCCCTAGCTCTTCCACCGCTGTCAGTCTGGGAATATACCGCAGCCTTCCGTATTCGAGCGGGCAGAGAGGTGGCCCTCAGTGTGACTGATTGGCTGTAGTACGGCAACAAAATCTCTTCGTCAGCCAAATGTCTGAGCACCTTACAAGATGCCTGTGGTCTATGAAGCTGTACCCAGGTAACATCTAGTAGACAGCCAGCCAAGATTGTGGAAATTGCCCAACACATACTAGCTTCAGCCAGCGACTCGAGAAAATCAGATAATAACGTTGGCAGTAATATACCACTTCGGAAAGTGCATAAAGTAAACATCGCAGGTCCGGTTCCTGGTATTAGCCCCGGGATTGCTGGTGTTGAGACGCTGGACACAAGTTAGCCGCAGGCGGCTGAGGGACTATGCATCAATAAGGATCTGTGTAGTTCCTTTCCGTTAGCACCAATATGCTCGTAGGGGTCTGAAGCAGCTACGAATAGGGTCGAGAAAACTTTCCGCAATCCACGCCACCAAGCTTGGATTAAGCTTAAATGCCAAGGCCCTAAGTCAAGCCATGGCCGATGGAATATGATGACCCTAGGCAATATCCAGGGATCCCGCGTGTGGCTTTCAGCCCCCAATCTCGAAGCACATTAGTGCCCCGGCGAAAGGAGTTATGAAAATTTGCTGCAATTGCGCAATCGCCTTCCACATCGACATTAGAAGTCTGGCCTCTTTTGCCCTCGACGTCTTGCTAGTGCTCTTTTTGCCCACTTTCCGGTCTCTTGGACGGAAGCATTGGAAGAAGGCATACGCAGTACTGTGTTTGACGCCAGTACATATGTGTCAAAGCGTATTGTCAGTCGGCCGGAATTGTCCGATGGAACAGGTATGCTGTTCATGTCGTCTGGTAGGGCACGCCGAACTTATTCATGTTACTTGACGATACAACAGCTCCATGATGTATTTTTCTCCGGAGTCATAAAGTATTCGACATAAAAGTAGGAAGATCTAGACCCCAGATGCAGGTCCAGACCCTGAAGCTTGGCTGGATCTCGGGGAATCTCTTGACTGCGCTGATCATATCCTTTGCTGGGATAGACGTGAGACAAGACCCTCCAGGAAAGGGACGAAGGATTCGGGACGGGCCCCAAACCTCTGGGAATGGGTTATCTGGGGGACATTGTTTTACTGCCGGCGATGCCAAGTGTCATCAAACCTTTTGTTTTTAGCGGCTACTAGTTGCGAAAGCTGTGACTGGCTAGCTGGCAGCCTTACCTCGGAGCCCCTGTGCTTGTCCACCGCTCAGGGACGTTCAGCACGGTCAATGTAGTCTTGGCAGCTGACAGTGCCGAAATATACCTGTTCAGTTGATTGAAGCTGAATGATACATCCTGGTTCTCATATCCATGTTCTTGAGGCAATGGAGAACGTATTGAGTACAGGTACCGAGCCTAAGCTCAACAGTCCGCAGGAAGAAACTCGATGAAGCCACGAACAATGGAATCGGACAAGTCGAAGCAACGGCCGACGGCGTTGCCGTAAGTCTTGATTTGATCAAGACACACGATCTTAGTCAACGGACGTTGCATGAAGATGCCTGCAGAGAAAAGGAGTTGACGCAGGAACGAGACAGAAAAAAGGAATACTAAGGGCGCCATGTGGCTTGCCTGCCGCGCTTGTCGTGAAAGGTGTGTTCCCCGGGGCTTAGCGCTCTACGCTCTAGTTGCATATCCGGTCTGTCACTTTCCTCATCGCTTAGACGAATTTGCTCCTGACTCCACCCCCTCAACATCCGCCTTTCAACTTCCTCCACACCACATCCTTCCGCCCACACCCCAGACTAGAACAACACTAATAAGCTTTATGTGGACTCTCATGAGTATTCTCCTTCACACCATCAACTGCCGCCTCCCAAATAGGCAATGAGGCTGAACATATACCTGCGTCGTTCCCCAATTCTTTCCTCTGGAAGAGTGGCATTCGGTACTTCCCGATCAAGAACTCGGTTTGCCATGGATGGGGGTACCATACAATATGGATTCGAATACCATGGATGCCACTAATACGATCCACACTGATAAGGAAAAGAAAGCAGAGGTGAACTGTGCTCAGATGCCAATGAGTCCGTCAACCGTTGACGGTTGACACAATCAGCGTTGTCAATCTCGAAATCTCTCATTTTTGGCGGTACGCTACTATAACAATGTGCGTATGCTTCTGCCAAGATCCACTGCCGGAACTGAGCCATGAGGCTGAACAGCGTTATTTTCTTTTGCCCCCTAATTTCACGATGCAGAAGTTTTCAACTTCATGGCGTTTTCTCGGTCTGGTATTCCGTATTGGGAATGGCGAGAGCTTGACTATTCCACCGTACTCGTCCGGACTTGTTCGCTACGTTCATCGGGCATTCAATCGATTGCGTAGAGGAGGAAATTTGCAGCACGTCTTGGCAGGAGTGAGCAGAGCTGGGAAAACCTTGATGAAGATCTTTGCGCAACTTCATTTTGCATCTGATTCCAGTCCCTTTGCCAGCCTCAAGATTTCCATATAATCCCACCTTCAAGTCCGCATCTACACATTCCTATTCCTCATCCACTCACACAAGATCATAGAAGAACATCATCTCCAGAAGTCCAGATCGATAGAGAACTCTAGTTGTGATACTTCTTCCTCATCTGTCTCTATCACTTCGACTTCGCTTCCTTCTCATTATTTACATAATAACTCTTCAAAATGAGGGTCACCATCGACAAGCCATCCTTCCACAGCCGCAGCCTTTCTGTGCCGGCACCTCCTACACCTCCTCCTGAAGCATTGGGCCTCAACCTTCCCGGCTTCGACACCTTCAAGGCCAACTTTGACCTCCCCCTCACACCTGTCACGCCGCCGCCAGAGTACAAGGAGCACCCTTTCTCTCACAACGACCGTGTCCGCGACCTTTCTCCCGTCGTCGACCCCAATGACCAACCCCTCGTGGCCGTCATCGGCGTCGGCTACGTCGGCAATCACCTCGTCGAGTCGTTCTCTGCCCATTACGACGTCCTCGGCTTCGATGTGTCAGAGAAGAGAATCAGCGAGATCCGTGAGGAGCTCCCAAGCGAACGCATCCGCTTCACAACCTCCAAGACAGACCTCCACGAGGCCACCCACTTTCTCATCTCCGTCCCTACTCTTCTCAAGGCGGACAAGTCCATCGACACCTCCTACCTCCAGTCCGCCATCGCCACGGTCGCTCAGCACGCACGACCGGGTTCCACCGTCGTAATAGAGAGCTCCGTCGCAGTAGGCATGACCCGCAGCCTTCTCGGCCCCGTCGCCACCGCTCACGGCTTCTACGCAGGCATGTCTCCAGAGCGCGTCGACCCAGGACGCATCGAGCCCCCCTGCCACGCGATCCCCAAGATCGTCTCTGGCCTCGACGACGAGATCCCCGGGTCGCTGGCCTCCGTCATGCGCCTCTACAACCAGGTCTTTGATCGCCTCGTGCCCGTTAGCCGCACAGAGGTCGCCGAGATGATGAAGCTCTACGAGAACTGCCAACGCATGATGTGCATCGCCTTCGCCAACGAAATGGCAGACGCCTGCATCCCCCATGGCATCGACCCCTACGAGGTCGCTGCCGCCGCCGCCTCCAAGCCCTTTGGCTACATGCCCTACACCCCTTCCCTCGGCGTCGGTGGCCACTGCATCCCCGTTAACCCGTACTACCTCCTCTCCAACAGCGCTTTCCCCTTGTTGGAAGCCGCCGCCGAGAAGATGAACGCGCGACCCGCCGCTATTGCCCGCCGCGCTATCGATTCGTTGACGAGAGATGCCAAAGCTGGAGCTGCCTCGGCTCTAGTACGGCCTCGTGTTCTCGTCGTCGGTGTGGGCTTCAAGGCCGGCCAGTCTGTCCTGAGCAACTCACCGGGTGTTGACCTCGTCAAGGCCTTTGTCCGCTCCGGCGAGGTCGATGTCATGTACGCGGATCCCCTCGTCAAGCAGAGCGCCGTGCCTGTCGCGCCTCGCTTGGCTGATGAGAAGTGGAACAAGGAGACCCTTGAGACGTTCGACATGATTATCGTCGCTTTCCGTCAACATGGTTTGGACTTTGGTATCATGGACGAGCTTCGTGGCGTCAAAGTTGAAATGTGGTGCCCGTAATTTTCTCTGTGGCTTCTTATCTTCTACTTAGAGTTGTTTCTTCCGGCGCTATTAGAGGAGAGGTCAGGTGTTTTGTTTCTTTCATTCGCATTGGTTTGAGCCGATGGCTCGGCGGGGTAAAATTGCATAAAACGAAGACTTGGATACGAGTGTGGTCATAGACTTAAACATGCCTTCGATGGCATTCCCAATAATAATCATAATTGTTCTGAATTTTGTGCTTGGATGATCCAGTGAATGAATAGTCCATGTCAGATAGGACTTGGCGTCTCTTTGGTCAGCCTAATCTCAAATAAGTGAAATGTCCATCGTACCTAAATGAAGTTTCTCTGAAATCCACTGAAACAATATCCTTTTGAAGATTATACGGCCATCACACCACCTTCCAACAAGTAGATACTCCCCTTAGACCCTTGCTCCTCCTAAAGCTTGGAGTTTCTGTTCCATCTTCTTCCGAAGAATCGGGGTTGGATCCTAAAGCCTTCCTTTGGATTCTGATCTGATATTGGCGTAAAACAACAACGCAAGCCGCAGCAGCAAGAAATGTGAATCCCGTGAACAACTGAGCTCCAAGATACGTTCCCGTCCTCATGTATATCGCCAGCGCGACAGGCGCACTCACCGTCGAAGGAACAACCATCATCAACCACAACAGACTCAGACCGGACGCCAGATTCTCCGTACCCAGAACTTCAGCAATCACAGGCGCAGCATTAACCCAGAAAACCCCGGCGGGAAGGCCTACGACAAAAGCAAACGTGATCAACGCCTCAAACGACTTTGCGTTGACCCAGAAAACAAGGGAGAGTATCCCTGTCACCAAAGTCATCAGTAATGTGACGTTGATACGCCCGAACCGATCGCTCAGCCATCCGATGGCGGGGCGTCCTACCGCCTGACCGAGCATGAAGACCGCCGAGACTTGGGAAGCCTGAGAGGGGTCCAAGCCGATGACGTTGGCGTAGTTTGCCAGTGCGAAGATGAGAATGAAGTATCCAAGCATGCTGAACGCGCCAAAGCCCAAAATCAGGAGATAATCCACCCTCTTGAACAGAGAGACATCCAGAGCCAACCGTTTGGCTCTAGTCTCTCCATAGCGCGTCCGGATAAGAAGAATCGAAACGACGTTCGCTATGCCGGAGACGATGGCGAGAACGCGATAGGCCCAGGGTAGTCCCATACTGTCCATCATGGCGCCCACTGCAAGCGAGTACGTCAAGCCGCCCAGTCCTGCGCCTGCAATCGCGACGCCGTTGGCTAGAGCGCGCCGGGTGGTGAACCATTGAGCTACGATGCCGTATGAAGGCAAGAACAGCAGTCCCATGCCGACGCCGAAGAGCAAGCCTTGTGAGAGAGAGAGGTGCCATACTCTAGTCGAAAAGCTCGCGCATACGAGACTAGCAGACTGTAAGACTGCCCCGAGGAGCATCGTGGGCCTGGTCCCTAACTCGCGCGCCATGATCGTGGCCGGTGGTGATATGACGAGGGTGATGCCTATGCTGAGGGAGCCTATCGTAACGTAGACAAGCGCACTTGTGCCGGGGAATGTGTCGGATCTGATGTAGTGGGCGAGGAAGACGGAATACGCTGCACTGATGCCCCATGAGTGCGCGTAAATGATTGCGATGGAGGTCGTGACGATCCAGCCATAGCCGCCATCTGGGGCGATTCTGGGGGCTGTTGAAACTCGGGGAGGTTCTTGGTTTGGCAGGGGCAATTTGGTTGTTTCTGTTCCGGGTTCGTTGCTCGTGTTCATCTTGAGAGTTGATGCTAGATAATGGAGTGGCGATATGAGAAGCTTTTGATTTGTATAGGAATTAGCAACAGACGGCGACAACATAAAGTGATTATCTTGTTTCCCCGCGGATAGCTTTGTTTGTACAAATAGTATTCATACAGAGCGATACGAAAGGCTTTCTTGGCGGCTCTGGCGAGTCTATAATGTTGTTATGTCTCGGTTCCCATTCCAAGAAATGGCTGCTTCGAACTTTCAACGAAGATCAGAACGATTTCAAATCATACACGAAGTAACTCCTTAGTTGAACTAGCAAAGAAAACAGCGCAATTACGAACCCCGGCCGAAAGGACCCATCGTTGGGGTCTAAATTTAGTCTCCGGTCGGAGACAACGAACAACTGAGGCAAGTACTTTACGGAGACATTCCACCCAGGATGCCTTGGTTAGATATGTTTCCGTGACGAATGACTTCAAGCAGTCTATTGAACCCCACTAAAACCAGTCGCTGATCCATGGGGGAGTATGATGTGTAAGTCTACAAATCCAATATCCCGGAATCTCGGGTTTTGTTGACGGACTTCACAAATTCTTGCTGAGGTGAGGTGCCGCAAGGATGCTGTATCGTCAGGGATAAACACAACTGGCCTAACAAGAAATCACGACCTAGATTATATGATGAGGTACCTTACACAAAGGGACTGCCACTATTAAAACACGATATCAGAAACAGCGATTATAGGAGGGAGACTCCTTGTTGTACATAAGACAACGACGTTACACATCAAGCGGGAAGTACACTATAGTTACTACCTTACACAACGAACAAGTTTTTGATATAGCTACTTACGAGAACTAAAGCAATTCGCAGATGACCATTGCATCTCGTACTTGTCGTATAATGCAGCAACTGCACAGGAGGATGAAACTAGTTGCCGCATTTCAAATCCTACCCAATCAGTCATTGCCACCCGCAGCGCTTTGCACATCTTTCATACTATTGAAGCATGACGTAACTTTTACACTAGAGGAAACTCTTCCGGAGCTGTAACACAAGATTCCTGGCTATGCCGGAGATCGGACTGGTCTTGTCGTATTGATAGGACGAGTGAAATTACAAAACTAGATCCTCATCCCTTCCAACCTACTTTATTGGTTGACTGAAAACATGAGCACACTCTCTAAGTAGGCTTATCCCATGCCCCAAGCCACAAGGATGTTCCTTTAGTGTCAATCGACTGGCTCCCCTGAGGTCCATACTCTCGAATTCACTGATCAGGGTCCACCGCCTTGTAAGTCGAGTCAACAGCAATCTCGTCAATTCACACCTGGCGGAACCCCTGATCCCCATCCAACTTGCCCTGATCATACCAACTATTCGCATACAACCCAACACGGAACTGGAAAGTACTATCATCATTCACCGTCGTCGCAACGTTGTACTTCTCCAACACCTTAACCCCATCATACCAAATCTTATAAAACCCAGTCGCATCACTCCGCCAACTAGCCTGAATCACAACCCGATGCCACACCCCGCGCTCAACCGTCGTCAAGTTCCCATACTTTACAATACTCCGCCCGCAATCCGGCTGGCGATACTGCCCGCTCACAATCCTCGACGTGAGCTGGTCGCCCTCGAGCCAGAGCATGCTCGACGGCATCCAATCATCCCCGCCGCAGCCCGCACCGGGGCGGTTGGCGATGAACTGGGCGATATTGTACGACTGCGGCTGAAATTGCCATGACTCCGAAAGGCGGAAAGCGAAGCCGTAGAAGCGGTCCTGACCGCGCGTGTAGCCGTCGTTGACGTCGACTTCGGAGTGGTAGCGCCCCGTGTAGGAAGGGTCGTAGGTCTGTGTCATTTTGAGGGCGGTGGTGCCTTTGTAGACTACGTTGCTGACGGTTTGGACCACGCCGTTGTGTTCTTGGCGGATGTAGTCGAATTTGTCGGCGGCGGCGAGGTCGCCTGGGTTGGAGAAGGGGTAGGTTGCCTGGACGGCTGTTGGGGCTAGGCCGAGGGCTGCGATGATGAGGGATTTGAGATACATCTTGTTGGTCTTCTGTGAGACTATCAAGATTGATTGGAGTCTTGAAGGGTATGACATGATATTCTGAACACTGATTTGGAGATTTCGAGGCTTAAGTATTCACTCAGCGGAGTTTGTGACGTGAAATTAAATTGGTTGCCTAAAAGACTAGACATCACCCTCCAATGCGATTGAACAATGTTAGTCTACTTTCCTGGATGGATGCGACTCTGACAGACATGAGCTGTGCACTTAACAGGCAAGTGTCTTATTCACAGCGAATGATCACGCAGCGTGCCTGGAGCCATATAGTTTTGAAGAAGTTGATAGCCTTTCTCTTCGGCTATCCGCGATGCTAAGTGGCCAATCAGCTCTGACAGTACTTCTATATTGCATGATATTCCGGAGGGATTACTCAGCCTGCCACCTTAGTTTCGTCGTTTGTTCGTGTCGTTTGATGGCCACAGCGGGGCTGTCTTCGTACCCAGAGACAATTGAAGTCTTTCACTTGTGCACTTGTGGAAAAGATGTATAACATGGACTAAGTTTCTTGGATTTGATTGAAGCTGAAAGGCTTCCATGTGCGGACTTGGGTGAGTCAGTCGCTGCGGTACCATGAGATTCTGTATTTCGATTGAAATCCAATTCTATGAGTCGCTTTTGGGCAAGGACGGATGGATCCTAAGCGACTCGTCTTCATAGAGGATCGTAGGGCTTGGCGAAAAGAACGTCGCCCATGTCACATGCGGAAGGCAGTCTACGGAGCACTATCCGCCTTCCTTGTTAGGCTTGGCGGACGAGACCCACGTCTTTACCCAGTCATCGTTGCACTTTGTCGTATTGGCTGAACTAAAGGATGAAATTCTCGACAGAATGACTACTGATCATTGTTGTACGATTGTAAGGCAATGTGGTTCTTGAAATGCCTGTTCGATATTTAGCTATCCGGGGACCTTGGTAAAGTATAATAGTCCCGATGGTCAATCAGCTGTGCTCTATTTTCGCCTTGCCCAAGGTATAGAAAGATACCTCTCATGGTGACTACCTTATTTGGTTAGGGTGTCGCTTCGTACGCCTGAGTTGTTTTTAGGAAGGCGCATTTCAAGAAGTTCAGACTCAACAACTTGAAGTCACGCTCTTACGTACAGAGAAGTACACAACAAAAGTTGATTGTTCTCCGGTGGCTGGAGGCATACACTTGGAGTGCGGGTCATAAGCTATACCAGAAAGCCATGC